AAAATCATAATGCTGTGGCGTCACGATTCCGCATCCTGCCGATCCATCTGATGATTGCACGTCTTGCAGAAGTGAGGGAGAAGTCAGATTGTCCAGATCTAACAAATTTGGAACACCGGAGAAGTCGTTCCAGACGTTGCTAAAGTCGTCTTGCACTACCGCGGGTGATTCCGTCATCTCGTCCGGTTCGTCCTCTCTCATCCTTTTTCTGGGTCTACCCATCTGCTTTTGCGGCGAATAAACACAATCGATCTTTTCTCTCTCGCAGCGAACACATCTTGGAGTGTGGCCAGAGCATTTCAACTTTCGTGTCCCTGGGCATAGTTGAGCGTCGCGCGGGGCAGATGGAAGCCTAGCTTGAGGTACTCACGGCACTCATCACAAGCCGCATGTAGTTTTGCCGCTGGTTGCTTATGCTGCTGCACCATTGTATAGTGTTGTGTCACGGGGATGCTGAGACCAGAGAAGCAACAACGGTGAGAGTGGAGATGTCGAACCCAGTACCAGAATGGTGTTGTGGTTCAGCGTGAGATCGCGGATCGTAGTCCGGGGACGCCTAAATCTGCCAGCTTTGTATGCACATCCCCAAGAAGGATGGCTGCGCGGATTAGCCCCACCTTGATGACGGATAACGTGTTGAATTATCGAACATCGACACATGGGGTTCGGGGTCCTTGGTTTCCACGCGTGTTAGGTAAGCTGTTAGATGGTTTCCTATTTCAACCTGAAACACAGCTATCCGCGGCCGCATAGGGCCGATTTGATTGTGTGTAACCTTGGAAAATTCGCGGTGACAGGCGGGTCACATGTGAGTTGTCACTGGTAGAACCAAACACAATAAAACCCGTCAACTCTGAAGGAAAAGCAGGTGCGAGCGCTAGCCAGAGAAGTGAGGCTACGTGTGACAGGATTCACGCCGAGCCGCTCTCATTGTCCAATGCCATGCTGTGCTGGGCTTTTTGCAGCAGGTCGGAGGCTGAGTACGGCTCCGAATATCGATGAGACGACTGTGCGAGCCACTCTGCGACCCAGCGCGCTGGATGTGGCAGACAACCTTACTGTTTCACACATTCTACACCGCTTTTGACGTGGTATCTCGGACCTTTCCCAGAGCCTACGCGCAATCGCGCAACTGCGCAGAAAATGTTAGTGAAGGCACCAATATCGCCAATCAATCTGAGAATAGAGGCGCATACCGCGCATCTGCCAATCTACGATTGATGGAAAGGGCGCAGCTGCTCCGCCTTCTTTTTCCATCTCGCCCGTCTTGGGTTGGCTCTTCGTAAGCACCTCCACCGGTTGGAATACAGAGTGCAGCTGACTAGGGTACCCCATGTCCGATGGCGCGCGCCCTATTGTAGAGGCGCACAAAAGCTGATGCCTGATTGCTAGTGGTCGCGACTCTGGAGGACGGTACTGTTACCATGGTCGCGAGGTTCGACGAGTTTTTTCAGTGGGTAGACACGAGACCCAAAGTTCTCCAGACGTCAGGAACAGACGCGATTGTACCTGGGATGCCATGGATAGGCCGCGCAACAGCATCCAAGGGTGTAATCGTGCGCGCTCTGTCGCGAACGTGATGCCAGGTTAGCCGCATCGGGCCCTAGGGCTGATGGAAGATGGCGCCGGTGGGCGAAGTCATTGGTTGGGAGCCACCGACACTGCTGCACCTTTTGTGAGTCACAGAAATCGGCCCTTCCTGGCGCCGCGCTCGCTTCGGGTTACTTTTAATCCCCCACTTCCCTCGCTGCCTGAATTTCTCCTTCCTACTCACCTCATCATACTACACCACGAAACAATACACAAGACAGTCACGAACAATGGCTGCCTTTTAACTTCCCCCGCATCTCGCCGTCCGCTAACCGCCGACTTACCAATACCCACTATCCCCACTTCAACTCCAACCTCAGAGTCTTCCTTCCCGGAACCTCTGAACTCAAGTCTCGCCTCGCGCAACTTTAGTTCGCCGTCTTCCTTCCCGTTCGACTTCACGTCGACCATCACGGCTTCTCAACAGTCATCATGGCTTTCTTCACCAGCTCCCCACGCCACCCGGCAACCACAACATACGAGTCAACAAGCATTCGCCCATCCGCAGTCGGACTTCGTGCTCTACGATCAACCACAGGTCTCCCAGCGGCCTCTGCGAGCACCGAGCGCGCCTCAGCCTGGGCATACGTTTAACAACGGCCAGCACTTCTACGCAAATTCTGCCCCGTCATCTACTACAGAATTCCAACAGCCACGGTTACGCCAACGTCCTCCGGTTCCACTGTTCCCCAGCTCTAGCAACAACATTCCTCAACTGCACAACGTCCCAAACATGGCAGGTACGACGCACGCTTTCCCCGCTCTCGATCGCGAGCTCACGTTCCCCGCAGACTTGAACAGCAACAACTCCTTCGACTCGGGCGCAAGCCTGATGTCCAACTTCAACAACGGAGGCTTTTCTATGGACCAGGTGTCCGCATTCACGGCGATCAACGATCCTTCCGTTGCCGCCGGGTCTACGCGCACCGTGTCCCCCAAGGACATCTTCAATGATGGCTTTGGGTCTGCACCCCCTTCTACGGCGTTTACAAACTTAACTTCCCCTGATATTGGTGATTCCCCCTTCATCAACGATAGCTTCGAGTGCTCCCCGATGTTCAACGGCGAGCCTGTTATTTCCGACACGAGCGACTGGTTCTCCCTGTTCCCCGAGCAGGAGACCAAGATTCCTGATACTGTCTATGCACCTGCTGTCTCCATGCCCATGGACCGCACTATCAGCAGCCAGTCTATGGAGCGATCTGGTTCTTCAAGCACCGGCTCACCCCTCGTTTTGGACAACTACTCTCGACGCAAGTCATCTGTCACCAACTCACCTGCAACAAACGGCATCAGCAAGTCTCGTCGGCGCAAGGGTCCTCTGCCCAGCATCACCGTCGACCCTAGCGATAAGATCGCTCTGAAGCGCGCACGCAATACCCTTGCTGCTCGTGAGTCGCGACAACGGAAGTTTGACCATGTCAGCACCCTCGAGGCTCGCAACTCTGAGCTCGAAGCTGAGGTCGAAAAGTGGAAGAGCATTGCTATGGCTCATGGATACAGCGGACAATGAATGTCCTCGTCTCTCTCATATGGTTCCCGGTGGTCGTAAGGAGCTGGTGAAGAAACCAGCCTTGCCTTTCGGCAAAAGTTTTCCTACCCGTGTTGTTTCCCGCGGTATTTCCTTTCGCTTCTGTCGCCTCCCCGTTACTGGATGGATGGTGTTTTCGCGCTTCTGTCCTTATGCTTTATCGCCGGTGTGCAGTCTCCCCTTGTGGTTTTCGATTGACTCCGCCTGGTGGAGGTGGTAATGTGGTGTTGTTCGTTCCTGATGCATTCATAGTTGCGGAGAGCTTTCGTGCTGAAGTCTCCGGGATAGTCTCCTTATATATACATGATTCACGAATGACTCTTTGCCACAGTGACTCTTGTGATGTTGTGTGACTCACTCTTGGCCAACTCAGACTGTGGCGATAGTGACTGTTGCCTATGACTCCCACTGACTCATGTTGGTCGTGACTAATCGAGTGCCGTGCACTTTTGCACGACATTATGTGCACTGTTGACGTGATGGTATTGTGACGGTACACTCGGTCGTCGTTTTGTGCTGGTGGCGCACATGTCCATCTCTGCAAGACGAATGCTATCTAAGGCATACCCCTGACTGCGCCGGTCCATAGTGAATTGCCGTCACGACCTCGGGACGTATCTCATGTCGATCAATATTCGGTCTTCATGTGTTCGCATGTGGGATCCACTCGCTTGGTTCGCAGTCCACGGTGGAGTATCTCCACCTCACAAACAAAGGCTTCGCCCATCCTCCGCCCATCCCTAGTGCAGCTTCACCACATCAATCACTGAGTATATAAATGTGTCGAACACTCTAATCTGCATGAAGTTATCAAATGGCAAGATGGCCGAGTGGTCTAAGGCGCTGCGTTTAGGTCGTTCTAAACATCCTCCGCAGTCTTCACGGGCGTGGGTTCGAATCCCACTCTTGTCAGCACTTCTAACTGCCCAATCTTTTTGCCCACATCCATGATGTGGGCTTACCTTTTGCTCATGTCAAAAGCTGAAGGTAGTAGCTGGCTCATGGCTTGCGCTGGCGAGTATGCACAGCAGGTGCGCAGCGCAGACGAGTATCTCATCAAGCGCACAGAATACTTTGAACGTAGTAGACTGCGTGATCTTCTTTTCTCTTTTACTCTAAGCCTGCGAACAAATCTCAGTTCACAGCGAGCTTTGTCAACTCGCTTACGCCAAATCTTCCCATTCCTCATCACACCCTCAAGGTTTTGCTCACCTTGACTATCTCCTACAGTACTCCAACCGCCTTTCGAGCGCACGCCTTCTCTCCAACAGACCGCGATATCCCGCATAAGAACTCCACACAACCCCAAGCATCGGCTATCACGCAGAAGCAGCGTCGACTTTACCCACCAGATACGATGCCTGCTCAATCCGACGACTTGCTTCTGTCGGTATGTTATCGCACCCTCGCCATCGTGTCAGGACTTCCGGGTTTGTCGGCAAAGGAGCGTGGATGCACATTAACTCAGGCTAGCTCCAATCCTCCCTCCGCAACGCGCTCGCGACATTTGGCCCAAACAGCACTCAATATCGCAATATCAAGCTGATGGTGGATGAGTATATGGCTAAGGTCGCTATGGAGGGGCTTTCCATTTCTTCAAGTGAGCCACGCCAGGACGATGAGAAGATGCAGATGAGTTAGGGCGAGGTTGTCATCGATATCCACTTCTTTCAATGCGCATTACCTTCAAGACCAAGATTGAACACCGGTGTCGTATTGCAGCTATCTAGGTACTGGTCCTTCTACGGGTGGCCCCTTCCGTCGGGCTTGCGCCAAGCCCGCGACGGCGTGATCATCAGGAACTCCCGTTCGAAGCAATCCCTTCAATCTCCTTGCACGTCCTCGCGATCACATCCCCGACCGGTCTTACAGAAGACGGCTACCGACCACCGTTCCAGCCCGCATTCGGCGCAAAGAGGTCTTCCATGCTGTCACCATCGCTTTTCCCCGTTTTCGAGCCTTGAACACTGTATGATTTGGTGACGGCAATACGGTGATCCGGCCTATCATCAGCATGCTTAGTCGCATCTGTATCTGCGTCTGCACTTTGTAGTTCATAACTCTTCTCCCCGCTCCGTTTCACGAACATCTTCAACTTACGAATCCTGGATCCATCTCCGCTTCCGCTTCCACTCGAAAGGGCCAGTATCCAGGGCATGTACTGCTGTATGAATGGCTTCAGTAGTGCAACGCATGCGCAAATGACTCCGCCATTGAGCTCGACCGTGGAGAAGATGCATGCCTTGGCCACGTTGTAAGTTGCGTCGGGATCGCTAATCATGCTGTAGACGTAGATGATGCGGACGGTGGATATGACGACGACACTACAAAGCATGTTAGCACCGAGCGCATAACGACGCATACCCGAGGGAGCTTACCCAGATCCCAGAGCGAACACGAAGCCCAGTAATATCTTTTGTTTAACAGGTAGTTGCAGGGCGCGCAACATCGGTATCGGCAGGCATAGGATCAAGAAGTCTGTGATTATGTTTATACAGGCCATGAACAGATTGAGGTCTGTAAGGCACTTCTGGTCCGTATGGGTTCGCGGATTGCAGGGTCCGGCGGCGACTATGGTGATGGCCAAGGAGTATCCAGTGACCAGGACTGCCAATGCGTAGATGGCTGCTTGGACTTTCTGATCTGGATTGAGTCGGTAGTAGAGAGCTAACAACGAGAGTTTAGCTAGAGCTGGAGTCCAGACATACACCACCATGATACCGACGAGCATCTTCGTATAGCCCAACATTTGCTGCATAGTCACATTCCACATATGTTGACCGAAGCCATACTGGAACGCTACATTCGAGGTCAGTTGCGCACTCAGTAAGCAGAGGGGCAGACTCACTTCGGAAACATATGACCATCCATGCGACGCAGCCGCACCAGCTGAGTACCACCAGCGCATCGTCCAAGCCGGTCATACGGCGGATGAATATGCGCGTATACAATCGCAATCCGAGGACGAAGGTGGAAAGTATCGTCATGACTGCATATACCACGACGATTCTCTTCTGAAGATCCGACCGTTCACCACTGAAGTCTGCCTCAACGCCAAGTGGCGCATCCAGAACGCCCGACATGGTCGTAATCGCGGTCATCACAACCGGAGAATTTCTTGGATTCGCAGAAGGAGTCGGAACTTTGAAGGGAAGGCGTGATCGCTAGGACCTTGGGTTTTCTCCCGGACATGCATCGAACTTATCTTACACGCAGCCTGAGTTACCTTGCCAGGTGCCAGCGATCTTAAGACGGGGGTACACGAAAGATCCTTTCCGTACGACCTTGCCTGTTCAACAGTGAAACCGTAAGATGCTGGCGCATTCTCGGCAACGCTCATGGATATGCGCAGCCCCCGAAATTGCTCGGTTGGAGGCTTGAATTGAATACCAGATAAGATATTCATGAAATCATGGAATGAGGAACCATGTCCTGTTCTCCCATTCAGCCTATGCGCTCTAAGCGAATGTAGCCCTGCCGCCACCTCGCCTAGCAGACACTTATGTACATGCTTACATTTTTCCAGGCCGTCTTTGAACAGGATAAGCGCCACTCAGCAGCACCAAGTCTGATCTACGCACCAAAGTCACACACGTCGTGTTACGGCGCAACCGCATCCAATAATGCGGCGCTCGGAGAATTGAGGCTACACCACATTCTTCCTTTCGCAGACGACTAAACGGCTTTGGTCCGCTAGAGAACTCCACGATATCGACACGTTGGAAGACTAACTAGACGTGAGTTCGCACCGAGACGCTAATCGGCTATGTACGATAGTGTGCGACAAAACCCAGTAATCCAATGCTGACCCTTGCACACTAATTACTATGCGGCAAGATTCCTGTTGCGGAGCACCAGCTGCAGTCGCAATCTACGGTAAGAAGGATGAACAGAGACCTAGTCATGTCCCACTTCATAAACCGGGGCTGCCGATCGCGTTCTCGTACCAGTCTCCACGTGTGACTCTGGGCTTCCGAGCAAACGCGTCGCACATGCAAACCTTCCACGTTTTGTACTCCCGATAAAAACAACACACACTGAAATCACAACGGTGCGATACTGACTCCCAGGGCTCCCTTATTCAAGGGGTTGTGGTATGTGGCGGTTGCCTTCACCTGATAGCAACCGAGAAATAGCCCTCGGCCACCGCGGCCTAGCACTCTATACACTGAACTTTAGCAACCTCAAACAAGATTCCGGTGCCATCCACAAGAAACCATGGGCTCGGTTCCTACCGCTGTTTTTGTGCTCGCACCTTTATCGGCGGTCATCCTGCACGAGTTCGTTTTGCGACGAGTGGAAGTCGACCATTTGACCCTTCAGATCCTTGGCCTAGCGATTACCGCATACTGGGTTCTATCATATTACACTGGATTCATCGCCGCGACACTGGTGACGAGTTCCTTCTGGGTTCCACTATGGCTGTACATCGGAGCGTACCGAGCCTTCTTTCACCCACTCAATGACTACCCGGGACCTTGGGCTGCGAAACTATCGAGATGGTGGGCCGTCAAGCAGACATATGACAGCAGCCTGCATTACCATCGAGTCCTTCAGCGGCTGCAAGGCCAATACGGCGATTATGTTAGGACGGGTCTGTCCAACCCGTGTACTTCCTTCCACATTCAGTGCTAACACCGTCAGGGCCACGTGAGCTCACGATTTTCGATACAGCTGCGATCCAACCAATCCTCGGAGCTCAGTCACAGACGTCAAAAGGACCGTTCTTTGACGTCATGGAAAAGTCGTTGCACCTCAATCGCGACAAGGCGTTCCACCGCCAGCGCCGCAAGATCTGGGACAATGCGATGAAGGCATCGCTTTCCGACTATGCGCCCCAAGTCGAGAACTTCACAGACCAGCTACTTACAAGGCTGCGCAATGAAGAGGGAAGGTCAATTCCGCTGCTTGTGTATGCAAGCTACTATAGCTACGATGTCATGGCAGCGCTGGCCTTCGGCAAGCCCATGGGCTTCATCAAAGGCGAACAAAGCGACGTCGCTGCGAGCATTCTTGCAACTATGATGGGCAGCGTCCAGGCTTTGGGATACATGTATCTGATGCCATGGCTAATGAACACAGTCGGTGTCCTTACCTCGTTCGCGGGACCTATGAAGGAATGGCGAGACTGGAGCGTCAGCCAGATGAAAGCGCGCATGCAGGTACATCTTCCTGCCCTTTAGCTCAACCCAAGCCATTACTAACGGTATTCTCCAGGTCAGAGACGCCAAACCAGACCTGATCTCTCATCTCATCACCTCCACGCCCAAAACACCAGAAGGTCGCGAACTTCTCTACGGCGAATCACGCCTCATAATTTCCGCTGGCAGCGAAACCACGTCCACGGCCCTAACCTTCCTCTTCATGCAGCTCGCCACACACCCACACTACATGGCCGCCGTCCGCGCCGAGTTCCTCTCCAACATCAACACCTACGACTGCCAGCGACCCATGCCAATGCTAGAAGCTTGTATCCAAGAATCGATGCGCATGTGGCCCTCCGTCTTCTTCGGCTCCCAACGCATCACGCCGCCACAAGGTATGGAGATAAACGGGCGCTTCATCCCGGGAAACATGATCGTACACATCCCTATCTTTCCGCTGTTGCGCGATGCGAGGAACTTCGTGGCGCCTGATCAGTTCATACCTGAGCGATGGACTACAAAGCCGGAGTTGGTACTGAACAGGCAGGCGTTCATTCCCTTCTCGACGGGGTCACATAGCTGTGCTGGTAAGGCTCTGTCGTTGATGGAGTTGAGGAGTGTGATTGGTAGGGTCGTGGCGGAGTTTGATGTCGTGCTTGATGAGGGGACGGATGTGAATGCTTACTGGGAGGGTATCCTGGACCACTTCACTGCGGGTGCGCCACCGATGATGGTCAGGTTCGTGAAGGCGCAGTGAGTGCGCGTGGGATCTGGTATATATGGTGTTTATGGCTCATTTTTCTTTCACTTCAAAACGAACCCTATCTAGCTGCAGCGTGGGAAACCACCAAGAAGTCTACATTGCTGTTAGTTCTCCTGGATTTCCTATTTTGTACTACCACAAAAGACTGCGGATGATGTTTAGAACGACCTAAACGCAGCGCCTTTGACCACTTGGCCACAGCAAAATCTCGCACGTCGAGCAGCGAATACTCTTCGACATCTTCCAGACAGCTTAACTGCCGCCTTGATTCTTCTCAGTACCCTAGATGCTACCGCGATCGCGCCACCATCCGCGCTTGTATCAAGATGCTTCCTTAAAAGCACAAAAGTCGGTTATACTAGTACAAGGCCGAGATCATCAAACGCCTCGGGCTCGGCCATGAGCAAGCTTTCGACGGATGGCGCTTTCGTTTTCCCGCAAGCACTTCATATAAGGAAAAAATTGAACAGGTCTGCAGTCTACATTAGAATAAAAGGGCGTAAGTTAGTTGACCTAACGTCAATGTAGGCTCCGGGGTATCCGATTTTCACTTCAATTGGGGTGCAAGCAATCGTGAACGGCATTGAAGCTGCGAACCAAGCCGGCATCAGGCCGACTCTACTTTTCGTCAGTGCTTCTATTGACGATAATAATAGAAGCAGGCTGACGAGACTCTGCTGCTTTGGTCAAAGGAAAGCGGTAGCTGGTACTACTCATGTTGGCCTCCTTCATCTTGCAGTTTTCTTCATGGGCAGCTAGATAGTAAAGGCATGCCGGAAACTTGCCACATCCAGCTTTAGAACACTGGTAGGGTCCCCGAGTATCCTTCTGGTGGTCACGTTGATGAGTGCCCATTTGATTTGCATTACCGGTTTTCGGGCATCCGTTGTATTTCTTCCACGGGTATTGCATGTTTGTAGGCTTAGTGGCGGTACGCCCGACATTTCTGGCATGGTGCTTAGGTAGCCTTTTGGTGAGTCACCGAGAGATGCCCGCATCCACTCGGGCATGGGATTTTCGCGGTGCCGTCTTGGATCGTCGACTCAGCACATGTTGTCACCACACCATCATGCGCGTGGGCATTGGCGACATGCTGACATACCCCCCGGTACGAGTCGAAGAATGGTGCTTTCTCACCGCAGCGTCCTGAGCACGGAGTTTGGTGGACTTGGTATGATTCTAAGCTCATCCTCAAGGCGCTAGAGTCGGACTTCTGCCAAGATGAGAAAGCTGATGAGCTAATCGCGGCGTGGAAGATACTGCAGGACAGTAAGGATAGCTCCTTTGGCAAGAGCTACGGCCGGAACCATATCAGCCCCAACACTTCATTCCCCATAATCGAATGAGCCTGCTAAGCCAGCATTTACGCTCATCGCCATGTAGCGACGGAGCTCGCGTATTCCTGTACTCTATATCAGTAGTGTAAGACTGCCATATACCCTATACGGCCTGTTTTCTACGTTGCAGCATATTATCCAGGGGTCTGCATCGCTGTTGGTCTTTCCTAGATATCGTGTCATGTACCGATGTAGGCCGCAAAAATCAACAAGAATATTATAGAATCAAACCACCTAGAAGTCTACATTGTTGTTAGTCCTTGCCCGTTCTCTTTTATTGTACTATTATAGGCCGCAAGAAGCAACAAGGTTGTCGTAGAAACAGATCATCCAGAAGTCTACATCGCGGTCGGATCATTCTGGTATGGAGTTCTGTTGATCTCGCAAAAGTTCGAGCTGCGGCTGATTGAGCCTCGACAAGCGCGTCAGAACTCCATCCTGACCACAATGATGTCGACATCTACATTGTTCTACAACCTCATCACTGAGATCATGCGTCTTTCATTAGCTTGCGGATGTCCGTCGGAAGCACAGATCTCTCCACTCTTTCTAGATGCCGATGTCGAATTCATTCGCACAATGGAGGTCAGCATTAATGACTGCGCGATACCCAAAGACGTCATATCCACAAATACGAATATATCAGCTTGATTAGTACTAACATACTTGCTCTTACTGAATCGGTCTGTACTAAGTTTCTCGCACCTTTCACTTTCGGATTTACAAGATGCATAGTATTGTTTGGTTCCAGGGTTGATGTCTTCCGCTGGATTAAGGCATCCCTTGGGATGCTGTTTACAAAGGGGCGGGTTATCTACAAGCTCTGCTCTGTGTTCATCGCGCAGATGTCGGAGCTCGTCTTCGGACGTGGTGGAGCCTTTGGCGAGCAGTTGCTATAATGTGTTTTGGTCGAACTGCCACTGCTATAAAGCACGTTAACCTAGGAAAAGACGGCACAGCCTGGAGCCTACGTTGACGTCAAGTTACCTACTTTGCAAGTTTCAGCTTAATGTAGTCTACAGACGTGTTCAGCGTTTTTCTTGTATGAGGTGAAAGTATGTAGAGATAGTTGCTTTACTGAAGAAGCATGACGCCAAAAATAGCTGACTAACCGTGGAAGGCCCCGGCGCTAGCGGGGTGTTTCGCGACTCCATGAGTGCTCTCGAGTGCTGCCAGACTCACCACGTCCGATTTCCCCACCGCGTGACCCGGAAAGCAATCGCCGCCTCACCATATAAAGTCGCGCAAACCTTCCTATCTTACCTCCACCCCACAATCAATACGAACCTGTCGGTAATCGCGGCCAATGCAACATTTCCTCGCGCAACAGCAGCAGCAGCAGCAGCAGCAGCAGTACGGCGACTGGCCCGCTCAAGCTCAAGCCCATGGCCATCACCAGCAGCCGCAACACCATGTAGGCCAGCACGGACAACACCAAGCGCAGGCCGCCCAGCTGCACGCTCAACAACAACAGGCCCAGGCCGTCCAGGCGGCTGCCCAGCGACAGTACCACCAACAACTCGCCGCCAGCAATGGCACCACCCTTCCCGGCAACAACGCCGTCCCCCGCGGCCCCGCGAACGACGTCCAGACCACCGATATCGGAATGACGGAGGAGAACAGGCGCGTCTTGGAGTGGATAGCCCAGCTCATGAAGCCTGCCACGCGTGAGGCTGCTCTTCTGGAACTGAGCAAGAAGCGAGAACAAGTTCCTGAGTTGGCTCTGATCCTCTGGCACTCTTTCGGTACGCGTATTGTGTTGTCGAAAATGCGACGGGATACTAACGACTCTAGGTGTCATGGCCTCGCTCCTCCAAGAGATCATCTCCGTCTACCCTCTGCTCAACCCGTCGCAATTGACCGCTGCCGCTTCTAACCGTGTGTGCAACGCTCTTGCGCTTCTCCAGTGTGTCGCATCTCATACCGAAACTCGCGGTCTATTCTTAAGCGGTAAGTCAGACATCGCACTGAGGAGACGTAGCTAATGCACTCACAGCGCACATCCCGCTCTTCCTCTACCCGTTCCTCAACACAACGTCCAAGTCGCGGCCTTTCGAATACTTGCGTCTTACATCTCTCGGTGTCATTGGCGCTCTTGTTAAGAACGACTCTAGTGAAGTGATCAACTTCCTCCTCACAACTGAGATCATCCCGCTTTGCCTGCGTATTATGGAGACTGGCTCGGAGCTCAGCAAGACAGTAGCCATCTTCATCGTCCAGAAGATCTTGCTAGACGACATCGGTCTTGCCTACATCTGTCAGACCTACGAGCGCTTTTACGCTGTCGGCACCGTACTCAGTAACATGGTCAACCAACTTGTGGAGCAGCAAACCGTTCGCCTGCTCAAGCACGTTGTTAGGTGCTTCCTTCGGTATGCACACTCCTTGTCAGTCTTTGTACTTGTAACTAACTTTGCCAGCTTGAGCGACAACGCTCGTGCGCGCGAGGCCCTTCGCCAGTGCTTACCAGAGCCTCTCCGTGACGCCACCTTCTCCTCTGTTCTTCGAGACGACGCAGCCACTAAGCGCTGTCTTGCTCAACTCTTGATCAACCTCTCTGACAACGTCGTCGATGCCGCCAACAACCAGCAGCTCATGCACTAGGGGGCATGCAAGGGGGAGCACAAAACACCTCCTCTGCACATCTGGCACAGGTACCTTCGATGATCTTGAATACCTCTCCTTCGCCTTTTGTATATTTCTAGCTTCGGCTTTTGCTTCATTTGGCGCGGCAGTACGCGTAGACGACATACCCCTCAGTTGCGATCGAATTGGGCTTACGAAAATGGTGCGGCGGTTACGGCGTTAGGGTTTCTCACACGGGATACCCCGTAGCAACACTGTGATTGGGCAGATGCTACTTCCTTCAACTTGCGTTTATTGACTTTCTTCTTACTCTCATGGTTATGGCGAGGAGTTTTCGGGCATTGCATGGCGTAGTGCACTCATCAATGCGCGGATTCTGGGAAGGAAAGTCATGTGTGTAGTATCATATCTTATTTTTTCCATGCATGCGAGTAATGCGAAGCATGCTTCAATGATGATCGTGCAAGCCAGTCGTGATGTACTCTTTGTGATAGCCAAAAGTGACATGAAGGCATTCGATGCAACCCATCTGGCGCATGCGTGGAATGATATGTGATGTATCCCTGTAAGACACAATCTGACAGCGATGTCCATTGCAGAGAACATGTGCATGGGCGAGGTGTTATTTTTCATGTAAACCTTGGAGAGTGACTGCCATCAGTTGTCCAAAGTGGACTAGCGTGGACTTCGCTAGCGGCGAAACGGCCACAGTCAAGCGACAAATCCGCCGCCACTTTTCTCTCTTCTTCAACCACCACCGCTACAGAGCCACCAAAGGAACCGATATCCTCTGGGAGACACATTAGCCAACATGTCGAAAATCTCTGTCGCCGGCGTTCGTACGAACGTTCAACAGCTCCTTGAGTACTCCAACGAGACCAAGAAGAGGAACTTCCTCGAGACCGTCGAACTCCAGATCGGCCTCAAGAACTACGACCCCCAGCGTGACAAGCGTTTCTCCGGAACCATCAAGCTCCCCACCCTTCCCCGTCCTCGTAAGTCACCGCCGGCGCATCAATGAAAATGCGTATGTTAACAGGTGGCAGGCATGAGCATCTGTGTTCTCGGTGA